GTGTGGGTGTGGGTGTGGGTGTGGGTGTGGATGTGGGTGTGGGTGTGGTGTGGATCTCCATTTACTCCCATCCACCCACATCCACACCCAGACCCACACCCACACCCACACCCACACCCTAGTCGAAACAGATAAAACTATGTTTTAATAATTGTTAACTAATCAGTTTTTCTTTGTATCAAAGCATAAAAAGAAATGAATCAGATCTATGTTTAGAATTATATCCATCTGTGCATACAATGTAAAACAATTGAGAAGGACAATGCAGATTTTATGAGAAAACAATTACATATGCATATATCACTACGGGCAATGATGTATTCTGTTTTCTTCTGTAGTAAACTGTATAACATTCATTTGTTTATCCACAATATAACTCATATAAAGATGTAGAAAATATCAACAACAAATATATATTCTCTTTTGTCGCCTTCTCTGCATCACCGATGAATATAAACATATAGCGATACTGTAAAATAGGGAACAACATATGAAGAAGTCTCTATATGTAATGGGTGAGGTAAAAGTTTTGCAGTAAGTTTGTTTTCACTTTCACAATTTTTTGAATAAATTTATGTTGTTTATAGATATCTAGATCGGATTTTCCATATTAGTAAGAGTGATTACTGTAGTATCTATCTATATAATATTCAATATGGTCAAAAACTATTACATACATAGACGGTTCGATAAATATTCTTTCGAATGGTGATAATCTGAACTTGATAATTTTGAACAATCGAAAATTATTCGAGAAATAATTGAGGATATTTTTGAAAATTCAATGAAATGTTGAGAAGTAAAAACAAGTGATCCATTATAGAGTGCTAGTGAAAAACAATGTTAATGCAAAAATTTTGCTTCCCTCATTCGTTATAATTTTATATGTAAGAGACTACAATAACATTTGTCCTAAGATTATATAACTGTTTCTATTATTCCATATGTATAAATTATTATTATTTTGAAAAGTAAAAATAAATTGAAAGTTATCATATGATGATGACATAGATTTTAATATTTTGCCTTTTTTTGGTTTTAATTCTAGAATAATTAAAATATAATTTTCTCAATGACAAGTAAAGAAAATATATGTGATACTGACTTATCAGCAACAACAAAATTAAAAAATAGTACAAAAGAAAGAGTTTGTAAAACAGTTTCAGAACCACCCGCACATCATCTTGATATTGAAGATTTACTTTCTAATCCATCGGATTCAAAAGATAAATCGAATTTAGATGTACTTACACAACATATATTACTTGAAGGTCGTCTTACTGAACAAGCTGCACGTCGCATTATTGAAACCGGTAAGAAGTTTTATTTTTTTCAAGAAAATAAAAATATTCAAAAAGAAAAAAAAACAATCTACTAAATTAGTTTTTAATTCGTATCAATTATGTTTATCGACTAAACTGAATTATTTATTAATCTATCATTTATATATAGAAATCAATTATTTTTAATATAACAACATTATTGACATTATTTACTTTGATTATCTATCTCTTTTATGCTAGACGTGAAAGATGAAGGATATATCTTATATATATATATATGCAAAAACAGGGTGCGGGCGTGGGTGTGGGTGGTTGTGAGAGTAGATGCTGGTGTCAGTGTTCTCTGCATCTACACCCACACCCCACTCACACCCATCACACTTACACCCACTCACAGCCATCCACACCCTACACCCACACCTTCAATGTTCCTCGGAATTCGTATCCACCAGCTTATTCGAAACAACACATCTCATATGCTTTTAAATAAATATAGAAAAATAAAGGAAATGTGTGTTGCTCAAGAAATGTATGTTATATAAACTCAACATATTTAAAAACAAAAGTACCGTTTGAAGAGAACTTTTAGGAAAACTGAACTTTTTTTTATGATAATCAAATACGTCCAAAACTTATTAGTCAGTTCGAAAAATACAAATAATGCATTCTAATTCGTCAGTATAGCAAAATTTTTATTTTTGGTTGAAGGAATTTTCACTTGCTGTTCGGTTGCAGCCATTAGCAATTGACGCCTTTTTTGGATACACTGGATTTGTTGTCTAACTTCAGGTATTGACATAAATTCATCAATTATATCATATATTTCATTCAATTTTAACTTTTCCTTACATTGAATTAATTTTTTAATATTTTTCTCATGCAATTCTGGTAATGTGGATAACATAGTATATATCTCATTATTAATCTTGGTTGCAGTACTAGGAATATCACGAATATATTGTGCTTCATCAAGGAATCGTTTCAGTACAGTTGAAAATGGATCATTCTTATTTATTAGTCCATTTTGTTGCAAGAAATGAATAAGTCTATCACATTTCAATAGGAATTCATTAATAAATGTCTCTAATTGAACACTGGTTGCTGTGACTCCCTGAGAGCTTAATGCATATTTCACGGTGTATTCAATCAAAAAATGTTTTTCATCATATGGGCAATGACAGAATGTAGCGTTTGTACGTTTAACACAATCATATTCAACTATATTAAGTAGTCCACATCTTTTCACAGTGCTTTTCACACAGTTGGAACATATTTCAATGTTGACGATATCGCTTTTTATTAGCAGCTCTTTTTGCGATGGCCCATGTTCAACTAGTTTCCAGTTATAAATTACTAAGCGTAATTTCTCCATTAAAGGTCTGGCAAGCATTGACACATCAAGCAAAACTTTTCTTAGTGATCTATCTTTATTGAGATCATATGTTTGAAATGTTTGAATAAACATAAGCATTCGTACCGATTCACCCACTGACGTTTTCCAGCTTTCAGCCGATTCTTTTATAATGTAGTCTTTATGCTCGACATTACATCTTCTTGCTGCTAAGTAGCGAAAAGTTTCACTATCGACACAAAATGTATTTTTCTTTTCAAATTGAATACCATTAAATTCATCTTGTTTTAACATTTTTTTCAATAAAAAACCGGTATTACCTGGTCCATAAAATGTTGACCGTGAATTTGTAAAACAGAAAATAATATTTCCATAACCATTTGGTGTTAAATAAGTCAACAATTGTCTAATACATGAACGAAAGAACACATCTAATTTCGAATTGATCGGCTTTAACAATAAACAAATAGCATTTAAATGTGATAGTTGATTAATATATGTCAAAACATGATTCATACTAATTTCATCTTGCTCAAAACCACGAGTATCACCAATACCAGGTGAATCAATCAAACGTAATCTTAATCTTTCATTTAAATCGAATATATACGATCTGCAATGTTGTGTCACTGATTGTCCTTGATTTTGAAAATTTTCATTTGAATCTACATCACCAAATTTGACTGTGATTTCCTTAAAGTTATCACCAGTTGTAGTAATAAATGAAACTGGAATAACAATGGCTGGATCACTTTGTTCGGCTTGCTCAATAGTATTAAATGTTAAATAATTGACAAAAGCATTGATGAATGTGGATTTTCCAACACCTGTTTCACCCAAAAGTAATACATTGAGTTCAGTCAGTGCCGACAAAGATGGAGGAGAAGTGCCCGAGTTGGTTAGTTTTAATTGTTCTAATTGAAAATATAAAAATTTATTAGTTCAAATTTTTTAGATACTATTTGTAAATTTAGACAAGCTAAAACAAAACTAAATAAAAAAGTAATTCGTTCAAATTATTTACGTGTTAAATTTTCAGTTGTGAGTGCTGATGCGTTTTTATCCAGTAGTGAGACAATAGTGAAGTCTTGTAGCACTTGTTCACATTGAGTAAAATCCACATATATTTTCCTCTGTTTTTTCAATTTACACTGTTGATATATTTTTTCCCATTTGCCTTTATTTCTTTCTTTTAATTGATCACTTGAATAAAATAAAATTGCAGAAACATCAGTCCTTGTGAAGTTTGATTTAAGTGCAGTATTTATTTCTTCAAATGTTTTAAATTTCAGTGATTCTGGAACAATTTCTGATAATTCTTTGTATTCAATTTGGTCATTTTTTAATTGTTCTATTAACAGCCATTTAGTCTGCCAGAACTGTACAATTTTATATAGTTTATCAAGGTCGATTTTCAAAGATGAATAACGTTGATCCGACATAATAATATCAATTTCTTTTGATTCACAAGCGTTTCGACGTAGTTTGATTACTACTTGCTGACTATCTTTCAGAAACTGTTCGTATATATTCGAAAGAGCAAAATATTTAGATTGGGAATCTTTTAGCTGTTGATTCAATCTCGAATTTGAAATTTTTTGGGTACAATTTTCTAATAATCGCTCAAGTTTAATTTTCGTATCATTTACACCTCTAATAATACAATGCATTCTTCCAATGGAAGAATTCATTTTGTCGGTAAAATCAAGTATGTTTGCCAATTGGTTGTCATTATAAATCCATCTTAAAGAGTGCATTGTATATAGGAGAGGATGATGATAATATTGATATTGCTGCCAATGTGATAATTCAGTTAGAACAGTGTTCAAAGGTGTGGATGGACTCCTAATATATTTTTTCGAACCATATACAATAACATTGTTCAGTTGGCTAATTTGAGATCTTTCATCGTTCTTTAGAATGTATTTATCTTTGTTATTTTCTAATTGTTTCGAAATACTCTCCAATAAATTATCTACGATTGTAGCTAATTTATCATTTGAAATTTGTATGACACATAATATTTCTATACCCCACTGAATTTTAGTGATTATATGAGTTCCGGGGGTGAAGCATTGGAGGCGCCCCATTATTTTTGCTGCATTGTCAGCTGTAAACAGTAATTCTTCTGTTTCATTGGTGTATGAATAATAAAGAAATCGAGTATTTTCATTAACTGGTTGATTATAATCTATGAGGGAACTGATACCTGATGGTTCAATCATTCTAAGAAGGAGACTTTGTCTAATAGCATCATTGAAATTCATTCGTTCAAGATAACTAATTAAATCAGTTGATCGATCACCTGAAAATACTTTACATACTGAACGTTTTCCAGAGATGCAATTTTTCATTGCTTGAACATGATTATGTTCCAAAATTTTGTCAATTGTTGCATCATATGTTGTACCTAATTTACCCGAAATGTCAATAGCTTTTCTTTCAATAATATGGTTATTCGTTTTTGTTCTAAAATATTTAAGTTCAAACTTGTTTTTACAAAAAAGAATATTATCAAAAGTTAAGCAATACGTTTTAGACTTATCATTTGTTGTCTTTGAAAATAAAACAAGCTTAAAGCAATAAATAACATATCTTAATTGTTTTTCATTCCTCTATTCATGAATTAAATTAGCATGAGAAGTTAAATTCTGTTGATTCAAAACAATCCTAAAAGCCTGTAGACAATCTTAATCAAATCTCGCTGTCAAGTTGCTTTCGAGATTTGCTGGATTCTCAACTAAATCTGTCATATAAGTTAGACAAAATTGAAGAATATTATCTATATAAAATCAAAGAAAATATTAGTGCACTGTAAACTAGAAAATACACTATAGAATAAGCCAAAGGGAATTATAAGAATGCCCATATGAATTCAACTGGGATTTTTCAAGTCTATGAAAATCAATACTGATTTTCAAAGAACGGTTTTTTGCTGGTAAATAAATTTGAATTAACACTTTTGCGAAAATCAAGCATTTCATATAAACCCGAAAATCAACCAGAAAACCAGAAAATTTAAAAATTAGGTGACCGTACTCAAAATCGATTTTGGCATTCCTAGAATTTCGATAAAAATTACTGTGTGAATTTTTCTTCTTATCAAAAAGATTTTTAAGATTATCGGAATAAACGTATTCAGATGGCGTGAAATTTGTCTTTCCCCTTTCTACCCGAGACTCAATCGTGATCGAAATTCAATTCTACGATAACACCCTATGGTTCGATGAAATTCTTGTATTTAAATTTTTCTCTTCTTTATTTTCAAATCTTAATCGATTTCGCTAATGTTAATTCTCTCCTATTAGAGTTTTATAAACATGTCATACATAACAGAGCTCCACGTGGAATAAGACGACTCTTAAATATTCCGTTGCACGGAGCAGAATTAACACTCATTCAGTACCTTTTCAAAAAAGTTTTGAGAACATGTCGTTTGTTTTCATTGATAGAAGTAGGGTTCACATAGTGTACACCAGTAAAATACTAACGAAAAAAATAAATTTATAAATGAAAATTTTGCTCTATAATACAAAGGTTTTTCTACAAGAGACTAGTCTTATGGAGTTCATAAGATGGCATGGGATTATCGTGTCTCACGCGAATCCCGCATACATAACTTGATAAACGTTCTAGTTGTCAATAAATGGTAAAATTCAAAGAGAAATTTGAACTAACTCTTCTGATTTAAGGTTGGTTTCTTGTTGTTCTGATGGTAATAAAACATTGGAATTGGATACCTCTAAAGACAAAAGTAGGATATGACATTAAAAAAATACAATTACGATAATGATAGTGAAATACTTGTAAGAGCATCTTTCTTATCTTCTTGAATATTATGAATGTTTGGTCGAACAACAGATCTTTAGTGAATTCATGGAAAAAATTGTAAATATTCTATTTTAAATAGCTAATGTCAATGGTCTTACTTTTTATCATCCCTTGAAAAGTTCATAATTGATAAATTCGATGGATTTGATTTCTGCTCAGGTCCTTTTGATGTATCTACAACTAAAAATAAAAGGAAAACAATCTCATAGTTCAGTATTGTGACAATATCAACATAATGTTTTTCAAATTTTTGTTTGTTTTGATGGATGGTTGTAGAGTCCAAATTTTTATCTATCAAGGACTTAAAGAAGATCGATTGAAATCTCCTTTTCAGTTAAGTTCCTGATTTTTGTCATCATTAAGAAAGGGAGATCCTTTGTTATCAAATTGTGGATTGAAGATATGTTATAACAGATTTGAAAAATTTCTCAAATTGCATTATAACAAAATCTGAAATAGATAGAGACGACCAAAGATCAAGTTTTATAAAGACAATTCAGTCGTTCATAAAAACCTGCAAGACAAATTACATATTTCAGAGGATTTGTGTAAATTGCAATAGATATCGATAAATTCAATTTTGTGCTCGTTCAAAATTTATCAAATAATTAAAGCATTTGATCGGGTATTGGTTATAGATAGGCATGCAATTATTGAAATAGAAATTGGAATCAAATAAAATAATTTTTCTCGTCAGACAAGATATGTTAGTATAATCCTTTCTCGTTCAGAGTCATCTATTTGACGGTAAAATACATTTTTAAGTTGAATTTATCAATAGTCTATAAAGTTTATATCTATTACTTTGAATTTTTTTAAAATTGTAACTTGTTTTCTCTAAGAATAATTTATACAATATAAGGGATCGATCCTAACTTCTTGTAAATACAAAGAAGAAAAACATCTAAATAAAGATAGCAGGTTTACCATGTTCTACTAAAAATACTTCAGCATCAAGACAACCAACTCGATATAGTCGTTGTGCATTTCCACTTTCTTTAACAATATCATTCGCCACTTTGAATAGAACTGTTTCAATGTGAACATTTGGAGTCGCAATATGTTTTATTAAATATTTTGTGAATAATCCATTATTCTCAAATTCAGTTTGGTTTAATAAAACTTGACCAACTGCACAAGGAAATGCAATTAATGTTTTTTCCGAGGCTTTCATTTCATTTAAACCGCCAATTTGTTTATTAGATGTATTTGATTTTGTCGTTGGCATATAATAACTTCGACAACAATCAAATAAAAATACAACAACCTGTGGATTCATTTCAGCCATATCATCAATTATTGATTGTGCGTTGATTGCATAACGGTGCATATTACTTGCACTTGTAATGTTATTATTATCACATGGTAAGAGAAAATTCTGATTACGCCACTGTGCAGCATGACCGGAAAAATAAAATATAATGAATTCATCCATTTTGATTGACAAAGTAAATTTATTGATACTATCATGCATATCTTCAGATTTCAAATTTAACTCTAAGTCTACTTGACAATTGCATTTTTGTTTGAGAACATCAGCGAAATCTTTAGCATCTTTCACACAATTGTTCAATTTTTCACGTTGATAATCATTATTTCCAATAATCAGCGCTCTTCTTCGATACATTTTATATCAAAATTATAGTTTTGAAATATTCTAAAAATAAATTTCTTTTTTAAATAAAAATTGTTTGTATTATTGTTCTTTTCCTTAATTTTATTTATTAAACTAATTAATTTCATTTCAAAGAAAACAGAACATTTTTATGAAATCCCTCTGTGTTGAAACATTTCTGATCGAACAATACTAATTCAAACTAGTTCAGCTGTAGTTTCCATTATTTCTGAAGAACAAAAAGGACTTCACATCCAAACAATTTATTGGATCAGATGACGAGGTACTACTAAAATACACAAATAACCAACAAGCACGTCAATATCTACACGAACAGCTTTGCAAACACCTAAAATAGGTTAGCATGACAATATGCTGGCTACATGGGCGAGAAAATTTTCAGGCATCATAGTGTGAAAACGTAATATAAATCAGCATCGATCGATTTTAGGATTTCTTACAACTAAAGCCTTATGGTTCATTCGGCGACGTTTTCTAACTATTTTAGGTGTTCATAACAGTTATTAGGTGTTTGTATGGATGCTTATTGCACGTTTAGGTGTTTTTATCGTTCTCTTTCGCTGCTAGTTGTCTCTAACGGGGAGAGGGCGGAAAGGCGATGGGGGAGTCGTGAAAACTTGAAATTAGAACTTACGACCATTGCATTCTGCAAAAATATGCGTCTACTCCACAAAAGACTAGGTAGTTAAACAAAAAGACGACTAGGAAAAATTAAAACTGCTTATTTCCTGAAATCCAACCCAAGACAAAAAAGGAAAGAAGAAGTTTTAGAGTACTTTTTTACGAGAAACGCAATTTGGATATTTTCTTGGAAAATATGATTTTGCAGGAGAGGTCTTCAAAAGCCTAGCTGAATTCGGATCAAATCATCATTCTCACGACAAAACTACTAAGTTTAAGACATTCGCTGTTTATCGCTATCTTGTATAAAAACCACTCAGTCTCTTAGATTATGTCCAATCGTTCTTAAGAGACTGTGTAATTTCGTCTAAGATAGCGATGCACAGCTAATATTTTAAACTTAGTACTTTTGTGTTGAGAGTGAAAATTCGACTCAAACTGGTCTCGCAGTAGGACTATATTTCCTATATTTTTTGAAAAATCGAAGATAGTTGTGAGCAGAAGTTTTTGAATGTTGAAGGGGGATAGGGGAATCTTTGGAAAGCTACCCCCGCTTCCTAATATCAAATATGAGGATGTCGAAAGCTTCAATTTATTTTTTTACACTTTTGTTATATTTATGCGTGAAATGGTTAAATATAATTCGAACCGAAATTATTACTTTTTATTGTTGAAAAAGATTTTTGTGTCATTACTTTTCGTTACTTGATGGTACTTTTTTATTTAGCTTATCAGACAAGTGGAGAATATTCATCGCATTACAATCTACGATATTGCTACAATTTTTCGAGACGCCAAAAAAATTTTGGAGGGGAAACTTAACGTCCTATGTATTTCCTATATAGTGCAGGGCGGTTCTATATATTTTTGGCCTCTAAATTCTATATATTCCTATATTTTTTCACAAGACTGCTACGAGGCCAGGGCTCAAATATGGTTAGGCTTTTTAAATGATAAGAGAAAGAGAGCCAACTGGAATATCCTATTCTTCATAACACCCATATATAGCGATCATATATGAACACAGATTTTTCGAATAAGGCCTTGTATACTAATAGTTTGCTGAAGTATCGTCACTAGAACAGCTGCTTCTTATAATGTAAGATGAATGCAAAAGTTACCATCGTAATTAGGGACAAAAAAACGACTGAAAAGTCGTCACTAGGAGTGAAAACAATTACCATCAGAACTAGGAACCAAATATAGCTACCATCAGAATTAGGGACAAAAAAATGACTGAGAAGTCATCACTATGAATAAAAACAGTCGCCGTCAGAATTAGGGGCAAAAATTAGCTGGACCGTCAGAATTAGGGACAAAAAATAGCTGGGCAACAGAATTAGGGACAATTTTTTTTATGACCCTTGGGTGTCTTCATTGCAAGATTTCTATCTTGATAAAAGAAAATACAATTGTCTTGAACCTTTAGATAATGATAGAGCTTGATGCGCTCTACAAAAATGTCTTAGACATCTTACTTTCATATCTCATAAAAAAAGTGAGAAAATAGTTTTTTTCCTAAAATTGAATTTTTCTATGTAACTTGCTACAGGCGTCAGAATTAGGAAAATTTTTTTGCTGACCGACAGGATTAGGAAACTACCTCCTAATTCTGTCCAGTGCAATCATTTTTTGTAGACCGCTATTTTCAGTATGAAAACGTGAAAAATGAAAGATGAATAATATATCATTTGAAAGAGGACAATCCAGAGATTACCTAAATATAAAAATATTTTCGATCGGATGTGTAATAGTTGCACAATAGTTGAAACAAAAAATGGTAAAATTTTACCGACAGAATTAGGGAAATCTACTGTATAGGTAATAGCTATGGGTTCACTAGAATCATCAGGTCCCGTCAATCTATGAAAAGGAGCTGCTAATTCTTAGCCCTTGACCCACCATTTCATATAGAAATGAAGTGGATTTTTGCTTTGAATTCGTAAAGAATTCAAACAGACCATTGTATGCACAATTTCTATTGAAAATGTCTCAATAGGTAAGCAAGGCAAGATACTCTTCTTTTATCATTTTAGCAAAAAAGACGAAAAAGATATGTAAAGTTATTATATCAGTAATAAAAACAAAGAATTTAACTCACATGTAATGATGTAATCAGTATGTAATTTCCAAAGAGCGACGAAACTTCTCTAATGGTATTTTGTGAGTATCTGATAAACGAGAAAAAGAATATCTAAAATAAATATTTTTTCAACAGATTCGATAGAAACTACCAAAAGCGTCTATAAAACATTTGAAATAGCCATACAAATTCAAGAAAGAACTTACCAAGTTCTTCGTTAAATAATGTCGCGAAGGGGGAGAGCAAAATTTTTGCGACATTTGAGAATAGGGTGTGGGGTGTGGGTCTGGGTGCGGCCGTGGATGTGGGCGCAGGTGCGGGTGCGATGTGGGTGTGGGTGCGGGTGCAATGTGGGTGTGGAGGGTGTGGAGGGTGTAAAAAGTAAAGGGAAAAGCTACACCCATCCTCACACCTACCGACACCCACCCCCACCCCACCCTTACCCACCCCCACAGTCACAGCCACACTCATCCACACATCCACAACCTCTTGTTCTAAGTTTCAGGCGCAGAAAACTCGCTCAAGACCTCGCTTAGAACTTTGAAAAATTTTTTTCTGCAGGTTTGACGACGTGCATTTTTATTTGAATACGTAAAAGAAAATTTTAGTGAAAATGATTTTTCGGTTGAAAAATCAAGATCATTAAAAGATGGGTGTTTAAATCGAAAGCAGGCAAAAACCATTGTGATAATCGGAATCAGCACGTTCGATTGATTACCTAGAATGTGAGTGTGAGTGTGGGTGAGATGTGGTTGTGGGGGGTGTAGCGAGTAAAGGGAAGAGCTACACTCATCCCTACATCCACACCCTTGCCAACTAAGTTTCAGCTCAAAAGTGAGGAAGGAGTTGCTGACTTTCCCTCGTAAATGCTCAACCGCGATGCTTTAGGGAATCACTTGTCTTGTTTTGTCTTTTCAACACATCCGCTAAGTGGTGGATACAAGATTAGGGACACTCTTTTCGATGAAAGGAGCGATTATGAGCAAGTCTCCTTGTTCGAGCTCATCCGAAGTGATGTAAAATTCGTGTTTTTATTCGGAATGGCAGGAGCAAATCGAAAAATTTCTCCAACAGAGCGACAATGACCTCATTGTCTTTCACTTTACATCTGCCAGTGTTTGTACTCCAAAGAAAATTAACGTACAGTGAATACCACATTTTCATATAATTTATGTGTGATCGTTCAACTTTCATGTATTCGGTGGTTTGACATAGAATTTACATGAAAATGTACAAACTTTCGATACTTTTTGTATTACTTCAAAATACACAAATGTTGACTAATATATGCACTATAACATGAATTGCTGCATTCGAACACGAGTCTATGGGTTTTTTTAATTCAAATTGAATTTTGAAAAAAAAATAACAGCCCATTTTTACCAAAACAGAGGAACTAAGGGGACTAAGAAATTCTTTAAATTCAGAATGGAAGAATTCTTTGGTATCTTGTCTCCTGTTCCTTATAAGAAAGGCTACTATGGATACATACATAACATATATAGAATTCAGTCGACATATGGTATATCTATAGCACCTTTTTTGAGGGTGGGCTAGGAGGACTAAGGGGACTAAGGGGGCTAAGGGGACTAAGGGGA